CCGTATCTCTCAACTGCTGGTGGTGTTTTTCTATGTCCAAATCTATAGCGGTTTTGATGGGTCTCCCATTTCGAAGTGTATTTGCCTTCGCATGCTCTTGATTTTTCGGATTAACCTCAGATTGGCTGGGCAAAACTCCTCTTTCTCGTACCGTGAGTGCACTCGCCAATTGACCCATTTGAACTTCTAAATTTCTAATGGAAGCGGCTTGATTTTGTAGGGTCGTCTCAGTCTTGCTCATGAATTGATTTGTATTTGTGGCGAGTTGTGCGATTATGTCTTCCAAGTTATTTTTCTTCTCTTGTGGTTGAAAACCTGGTGGTTTTTGTACGTTCTGATTATTGCTCCATGAAAAATTGGGGTGCCTTTGCCATCCCGGATTGTATGTGTTGGAGAATGGATCATTGCCGGGACGTCTATAGGTATTCACCATGTTGGCTTGTTCTTGCAAAAATTCTGGAAAATCAACTCCATGAGGACACGATATGGTGGCATGACCGGGAACAGCACAAATGGAGCAAATCTCTTGTGTTGGTGCTCTCCCATTCATAGCAAGCAAGGCGTCCAATTTACTAGTTATAGCGTCAACCTGCTCTTTAGAAGCAAAAGCATTAGAACTACCAATTTCATAAATTCCGGCACGCTTACCTCTTGTATCAGAATGCTGTGTTTCGATTGCTAGCGTATCAAACAAGGTTTGACATTCAGTTGGCGTCTTGTTCTTAATAGATCCACCTGCATAGTTATTCACTGCAGCCTTACTCGAAACGCGTAGTGCCTTATAAAAAATACGCATGAGAACTAAAGTAGGCAAACCATGATGAGGACACTGTATTAAAAAATTATTGAAACGTTCCCACGCTTCTGAAAATGACTCATCGGCCTGTTGACTGAATTGCATGATTTTATCCCGTAGTGCATCAGTTTTCTGAGTCGAAAAGAACTTCTCCAAGAACTTGTTTTGTACCTCTGTCCAGCTAGTCAATAATCCAGGCCGTAAGGAGTTTAGCCACATCTTTGCTTTATCTTTCAATGTGTAGGGAAAGACTTTCATCCTGAGATGTTCTTCAGTGACTCCCTCTGTCAAAGCCATGTTAGAAACCATGTTAAAAATATCTCTAATATGAGCTAAAGGATCTTCAGAACTTAAACCATGAAAAGAAGGCATCATATTAAAGTGAATATTTTTCAATTCATAATTCCTGGCAGCTGCAGGGAGAACGATGCTTGAAGGTGATGTCGGAATTGTTGGGATATCAAGGTCTCCCATTGTTTCATTCAGTACAAGGGCCATCTCTTCTTCTTCTTGTTGATTCTTCTTTTCTCTGTCTTGTTTTTGTCTCCTACGAATTTCTCGAAGTTTTTGTTCAATCTCAGGTTCCAATTCAACTAGTTGGCTAGTTGAAGAGCGGGTACCAGTCATTCACCGTATGCTCATAAATAAAGTCGTTGTACCTACAAACAATGACAAAGGATTGTTTAAATAAGGAAGAGATAATAGAATAAAAGAAGGAAACAAAACCCAAATAAAATTGGAAAGAAATTTTAATAAAAGAAAAACAGAAAGTTGAATGGAAATAGGAATTGAATTCCTAATGGCTGCGTGAAAAAAAAAAATCTTGTTGCTGTTTTTTTGTTTTTTTTGTTTTTTTTGTTTTTTTTCTTTGCCGCTGGGCTTCTTTCTTTTTGCCTTTTGTTTTGTTGATGGTCTGAAGCTTTTCACGTTTCCTCCTTCTTCTTTTTTATTATTTTTTTTATTTTTATAATGAATTCAAATTGAACTCAAAAAGTACCTGAAATAAAAAATTTTAACTAATTAAATATTCAAGGTATAACTAGAAAATAAAGCGCACTAATATAATAGACTAAGTCAATCCCCGGCAGCGGCGCCAAAATTTGATGTGATTAATTGCAAGTGGACAATATCGCTCAAATTAATATAGTAGTAAGTAGAGTATCGTTCCAACAGGGATCAAGTAATCTATTAAATATTAGAGTGATTTATATCTAATTATATTTGAATTAAACGAAAAGAGAATTATGATGATTAAAATCTAATTAAGCAAGCAAAATAAATTGAGATTAAGGAAATAATGTAAAAGATGAAAACAAAGATGATAAAGCACTAGGGCACCGATTTCACCTAGCTAATCCCACCCAAATCCTTCTAGCTCAAAATTTGATGTGATTAATTGCAAGTGGACAATATCGCTCAAATTAATATAGTAGTAAGTAGAGTATCGTTCCAACAGGGATCAAGTAATCTATTAAATATTAGAGTGATTTATATCTAATTATATTTGAATTAAACGAAAAGAGAATTATGATGATTAAAATCTAATTAAGCAAGCAAAGTAAATTGAGATTAAGGAAATAATGTAAAAGATGAAAACAAAGATGATAAAGCACTAGGGCACCGATTTCACCTAGCTAATCCCACCCAAATCCTTCTAGCTCAAAATTTGATGTGATTAATTGCAAGTGGACAATATCGCTCAAATTAATATAGTAGTAAGTAGAGTATCGTTCCAACAGGGATCAAGTAATCTATTAAATATTAGAGTGATTTATATCTAATTATATTTGAATTAAACGAAAAGAGAATTATGATGACTAAAATCTAATTAAGCAAGCAAAATAAATTGAGATTAAGGAAATAATGTAAAAGATGAAAACAAAGATGATAAAGCACTAGGGCACCGATTTCACCTAGCTAATCCCACCCAAATCCTTCTAGCTTGCTAATTCTAATTACCTAACATGTTGATAATCGTTTTCCCTTACCTCACTAATACTCTCTTCCGAGTTATATTAGTTGTATTCCTTACAGTCAACCCACTCTATTCCTAGTTATGGATTTAGATAGCTAAGAACCCATTAAGATTTGTGGAAAACAATGAAGATTACACAAACCATAACCTAATCTTCCGAGTCGGCTATGTAATTTATGGTACTTGTTAC